AAACCTAAACTAAACTAACTTTATTTATACTGGATAGCTCTATCAGTTCTAAACTGTTCTTCCTAGAGGTCCAGTAAGGATCATCTCTTATTGATCCAGTGTTACTACAGGAGGAAAGAGCACCCAGAGAAAACCTGCAGCGTTTGGTAGAGTCAAACTGGAAGCACTCTTCTCATATGCAACTGAGGTGAAATTATAATCAGACGACTGCTTATTAATGGTCATTGAGGTGAAGGCGCACTGTATCAAACATATAAACATATTTCAAACTAACCTGTGTCACGTATGTTCCAATAGTTGCGTCTTCACTGACATTAGCATGATACATGTCTTGACCAAACGCTGGGTTAAATTCATTCACATCTTCAACTTTGACATTGATGGTAGCATTAGCGACCAGGCCACTGGCTGGCTGGATTTCTGTGACAATGATGGTAAAAGTATAAGATGATTTGCTCTCGTAGTCCAACGTACTTGCAACAATCACTTCGCCTTGCTGGTTAACAGCAAAGTTACCATCACCGCCATCAATGGAAAAGCTGAATGCTGATATGACATCCTAGAATGCAAAGGCAAAGATTAAAGGCCTACTCTACCACAACCCCACATTACAGTTCTTTAATCGTTTCTTACATTATTACTGTATCTTAAATCCAATTTGACAACAACTGAATCCACTAAGGCATTTTCAAGCAGGGTGACATTATAAACATCCTGGAGTAAAAATGATGCATTTCTAGTCGTCTCGTTGATGGTAATTATGACCAGCACTTCTGCAGTACGACGAAAATCTCCACCTAATAAATACAAACAATGAATCAGTGTTTTGGTTTACACAATGACAACATTGTTGTGAATGCTTTTAAACCATTTAAGGCCATGGAAAAAACATAGCAAGGTTTTAGCAAGATCATGGTAAAATCATGAGATTATTTTCCAGGATTTAGCCAGATTCTTATACTGGGAAAACATAATAATGTCTTACTGTCTTCTGCTCTGATAGTCAAGATATATTGATCAACATTATTGCCATCCAATATCTTCTCTGTTTCAATCCAACCAGTGCTAGAATTGATTTTAAAAACATCGCCAGCATTTCCATGTATAATACTGTAGGAGATCGTATTATCAGAACCATCACTATCAGTTGCAGTGACCTGAAGAAAAATAACAGTTTAGAATTGATAGAGCTATCCAGCATACATAAAGTTAGTTTTTGTTTAGGTTACCTCCTGTAGTAACACTCGACCAATAAGAGATAACCCTTATTGGACCTCTAGAGAGAACAGTTTAGAACTGATAGAGCTATCCAGTATAAATAAAGTTAGTTTAGTTTAGGTTTCCTCCTGTAGTAACACTGGATCAATAAGAGATGATCCTTACTGGACCTCTAGGAAGAAC